TCGGGTGAAGTTTACAAATTGGCAATTCAAAAACCAGCTGAGCATCCATTGGTAAACTGAAGCAGTTCTGCACAGTATATAGGGATATGCACGCTTTTATTAGGTTCAACAATAAAAAGCCATACTGAGTTGGACGAGAGAACACTTGTGGCCATACCTGCAACAGGAGTCCGTGAATGAGATTCATGTGTGAGAAACTGATCTTCTTGTTCAAAGAGGACGATCGAGGAACACCAAAATGGGCGAGATGGTGTAATTCGTGAATATATCTCAGGGTAACTTTTGGCAATCGGTTCACCGGGACCAGGGATAGCAAAGCACGCGAAGCGAGCTGGCGTATGCGAATATCACAGCTAGACGCACACCTGAAGGGGATAGAAACCATGGTCCATCAGTANCAGTAAGTAGAAAACCGATTTGGATGCAATGTAGTGAAAAACTAGAACCACAAGAGAACGGCTCCAGAAGTCTGTACGAATCTTTTACTTGCTACGCATACGGTGATATCACTGATAAGAATACCACATTAGACGCTCCGTGAATCAAGATAAGTGAATGTTTGATACGCCGCGAAAGATGAAGATTCAGCTGATAAATAAAAAGTTCGACAGGACTAAATAAACAGATTAAAATGCATGATTAATACAATGACAGGTTGGAAGAGACAGAGCGGTTGGCTACTTTAAACAGTACAACTAGTTTAGATGCGACTCGCTTAGAGTTGTTAACGTAACAAGATGAATATGACAGAAGAGAACCACTGTAGGGCTTTGATAGAGCGTTTATTGTACAAACGAGTGGAACAGGTTGAAATACATTTGTAAAGATCACGGTGAGAATGATGCGGCTGTTAGGAAACTCTTTTGTTCTGTTTGATGGGTTCGATCCTGAATGAGTTGCACGGATTCAAACCACCAATATCCCGCTATAAGTTAGAGATAGTTGAACAGTGCTTTGCAGCATCTCGTTCGTAATCAGCATTCCGCGTGTAGGAATTGGAGAATACGAAGTTTGGTTCAGTTTAAACAAACCACTAAGCATGAACTTCCGTGCGACGCTTTCGGCTGCCCGTTTGGGTGAACAATGGGAGAAAATCAGGAAGGTTGAAAGTAGGATCGAAGAGAAAATTGAAAAGTTCTGTGGACTAATGATGAAAAGAAATTGAGAACGCCACTGTTTACGACACCCAGCTATATCACTTAGTGTGTCTAACCATCGGTTGCGATCATCTCGAGGTCCCCAGCCAGGGACCTATGTGACCCAGACTCCCAGTTAGGGTTTTCAGACCCTCAATCAAGGTCTTAGCTTGACCACCCTTGGCTTTATTTCACCCACTACGTGCCTCGGCAAACATCGCTCGCCGTAGTAACCTATTTGGTGACATGCGTAACGCATGCCCCAACCAACGAGAATACAAAGTAGTTCATTCTAAGCCGGCTTTATCCTTCAACTTTTTATTCCCGAACCATGTGTGTATCTTTTGTGTTGGATTCTACGAGGTCTACTGTCCAAAACATTTACAAGAAGCGAGGAAAATGCAGAACTGAACACAACCGAAGGAAGGAACTTACTTGAGCACAAACGGTCCGAAGGTTTTCTCCAACAAACCACTTATGGCCGCCTGCTGAGTCGGTGGTAGCAAACGCGTGAGAATCAACAAAGTGGAATAAAGCCTGGTGCGGCGAATGTTTGGTGTGCTATATAGTTCGAAAAAGGTAGAAAAGTGGACATTATCTGGTCAATTGACCCTGGGTTAAAATTTGCTTTACAAAGAAGAACTCCTAGTTCGTTTGAGGAGGGCGGTTATGACAGCATCAACAGGTGTACATACCACTTAGTGCGAGTCAAACCATTCCAAATGAAAGCCGAAATCCGAGCAACAAACTTAAATTTGTTTATGTAACCGAATGTAACATCAACCAGTTTAGGGGTGTAGAAAACTTTCAACTCCACCAAAATGGACTGAAGCGTTTTCCTCGATTAACTCGTCTTCAGCATGCTTTCCTTAGCCTTGTTATCAATTTGTTGAGTGGTACAAAGAAACCTCAGTAGCCGATAGGTATCCTCGGTCGGTCAGGGATTCACACACTGAGAGTTCTAAAGCGGAAGAGCACGGTCAACCAGCATAACATATCGTTTATTCAATCGTTCAGATCAGCATCACTGAATGAACAGTAATGTACCTTAGACTGTGAGCGACGGAATAGATGATACACCCCACTCGCTGAATGTACGGGTAAATCTCACTGTACGACTTCAAGACCGGATCAATGCACCGACTGTTGTCCAGCAACAGTGGAGGTGATTTGGTTCTGTTAGCTGAATCCTTTATTTCCAAGCATCTTAACGTTTGTGATACCTTTCTTGACAGGATAACACGTGACCAAAGGCACTTTCTGCATCAAGATATCGCGAAAGCCCTGTCGAACGCCTTCCGCGTTCTCCCAACTATCGCGGAGATGGCCCGCAAATACTGAAGGTAACCCTTGAGACACGAGAAGTGGTAAACACAGTTCTCCAGTCATGGTATAAACACAGAACCAGAGGGCCCAAAGAACTACGCGTAAGACCGATGCCGATTTCAGGACCGAAAAATTGTCCACCAGTCGAAAATGTCAATCATATTGCGCGTGAGACACTGCAAACTTCATGCTCCACTCCGATCCCATCAGACCAAACCCAACAAACACCTACAGCAAAAAACGTCTGCCGGCCGACGACGAGGTAGGCCAAATTACGTCCCTAAACTCCAAGGGATTTCTGCACCGACAACGACTGAACTGTTTCTATGCCAATGCTCAGGGTTTTTCAGTAAGTTTCCAGAAGTGGAACTACTTTGTCGGACCGGTCAATGGGATCTCATTGCCGTAACCGAAACCTACTTGACGACTGACATTTTGGACTCCGAGATGCGTTTACCGGGCATGGAGCTATTGCCGGCGTGATCGTCCAACGCGAGGTGGGGGCGTGTTGCTTTACTATCATAACAGCTTACAATTCGAGTAAACTGAGTGCCCGTTCGCTGCTTCAGATACTTTATGGTGTAAGCTGAAGCTAACACAACATGCT